TTCCTTCTTTTTCTATGTTTTGGAAAAGGTTAAGTAATATAGGTACTAGTCCTCTTTGAAAGTTTGGTAGACTTCTGATGTGAAGCCATGTGGTCCTGGGCTTTCATTTTGGGGAGATTTCTTACAGTTGATGCTATTTCAGAACTTGCTATAGGCTTGTTCAACATTTCCACTTCTTTCTGGCTAAGTCTAGGAAGGTGGCATGTTCCCAAGTATTGATCTGTTCTTTTCAGATTTTCATACTTTTGAGAATAGTGTTTTATGTAATATTCATTAAGGATTTGTTGAATTTCTGAGGAGTCTGTTGTTATTTGACCTTTATCATTTCTGATTGATGAAATTAGGGATTTTACTCTTTTATTTCCAGTTAGGTTAGCCAAAAGTTTATCTATTTTATTGACCTTTTCAAAAAACCAACTTTTGGATTTATTGATCTGTTGTATGATTCTTTTGTTTTCAATTTCATTTATTTCTGCTCTAATTTTAGTTATTTCTTTTCTTCTGCTGGGTCTAGGGTTGGAATGTTCTTTCTTTTCCAGTTGCTTGAGACGTCCCATTGAATTGTTAACTTTCTCTCTTTCCGTTCTTTTGAGGAAGGCTTGCAGTGCTGTAAATTTCCCTCTTAAGACTGCCTTTGCGGTATCCCAGAGGTTCTCGTAATTTATGTCTTCATTGTCATTTTGTTCCAAAAATCTGATAATATCCTTCTTAATCTCATCTGTGACCCAGCTATCATTCAGCATGAGATTATTTAGTTTCCATATTTTTGTATGAATATGAGGATTTCTATTGTTACTGAGTTCAACTTTTATTCCATGATGGTCTGAGAAAATACAAGGAATTATTTCTGTTCTTTTAAATTTGCTGAGGTTAGACTCATGACCTAAGATGTGACCAATTTTGGAGGATGATCCATGGGATGATAAGAATGTGTATTCAGTTTTATTAGGATGAAATGTTCTGTAGATGTCTGTTAAATGCAATTGTTAAATGGTTAAGTTTAAGTCTAAAATTTCTTTGCTTAGTTTCTTACTGGATGATCTATCCAACAATGCCAAAGGTGTGTTAAAATCTCCGACTATTATGGTACTGGAGGAAATCAAGTTGCTCATGTCTGTTAGAGTCTCTCTTATAAATTGAGGTGCATTCTAGTTGGGTGCATAAATATTAATAATTGACATCTCATCATGTTGAGTGTTGCCCTTAACATATATGAAGTGACCATCCTTGTCTTTCCTTACTTTTGTTGGTTTAAAGCCTGTTGTATCTGTGAATAAAATTGCAATTCTTGCTTTTTTCTGATTTCCATTTGCCTGAATTATAAATGACCATCCCTTCAGGCTGAGTCTATATTTATCATTTAAGGTAAAGTGAGATTCTTGAATGTAGCAGATAACTGGCCTGAGTTTTTGTATCTAGTCAGCCAACTTGTGCCACTTTAGAGGGCAATTTAGGCCATTCACATTAATTGAGAGTATTAATAAGCCTGGTAGAATTTTGGGTATCAAGTTCTTCAAAAGCCCAGTGGACATTTTTAATCCTTTCACCACTGTGGAAGTTGGAATTTGATACAAAGTTTCTGAGTGAGTTTACTTTGGTGGTTGAGGATTGGGCTGTTCCTTATGGAGGATAGATCTGAGAATATCCTGGAGAGCTGGTTTAGTTATGGCAAATTTCTTCAACATGTGAATGTTATTAAAGTATTTAATTTCTCTATCATAAGTGAAATTCAGTTTAGCTGGATACAGGATCCTGGGTTGAAAGTTATTTTGTTTAAGGAGATTAAAGGTCATTGACCACCTTCTTCTAGCTTGAAAGGTTTCAGCAGATATATCTGCAGTCCTTCTAATATTCTTCCCCTTGTAGGTATGGTTTTATGATGTCTGGCTGCTTACAGAATTTTCTTCTTCATATTAACTTTGGCGAAGCTAAGTATAATGTGTCTATGAGATTTCTTATGCAGGTTGAGTTATTCTTGTGTTCTGAAACTGTCTGCTATCTGAATTTCAGAATCTCTTGGCATGTCTAGAAGTCCTCTTTGAGGACTTATTATTTCATAAAGAATAGCATTTGTATCCTTCAAAGCAACCTCATCACCTTTAGGTATTCCTATAAGGTGAATATTAGATCTCTTTGAATTATCCCAGAGCTCTCTGAGAGAATGATCCGTTTTTATTCTCCACTTCTTTTCCTCTTTGAGCATTTGGGAGTGTTCAAAAGCTTTGTCTTCAATGTCAGAGATCCTTTCTTCTGCCTGTTCCATTCTGTTACTGAGGGATTCTACTATATTTCTCAGATCTTTGAGGGCTGCCAATTCTTACCTCAATGTGTGGCTGCCAATTCTTACCTCAATCTTTGGTGATTTTGTCTTTGCATTCATTGAATTTTTGAGACATCTTTTGAATTACTCCTTGAAATTCTAATTCCATCTTTACCTCCATTCTTTTGACCTTATTTGGTATCCAAATTCTGAACTTTATTTCTAACATCTCAGCCATTTGTTTATGAATGGGATCTTGTGCTGTGTCTGCCATATCTTTCCTTGGGGGAGTTGATCTACTCTGATTATTTATGTTGCCGGAGTTTTTCTGCTGATTCCACCTCATGATTATTTTTTACTGGTTGGCTAGATGGGTAGATAAGGTGAAACTGGATTTGGAGCTCCTAGAGTTGTGGTTAACTAGCCCTTTGTCAAGGATCTAGGACTGGTGACTGAAGCTTTCCCCCCTACAGCTTTGCACAGGACCCATACAGTATTACAGTCTAAGGCTGAGGAAACTGCTTGGTGTGGTGTGGTTAGGTGGCTCCATCTTGTATTCAGCTGGTCCTTGTCCGATCCTAGTGGATCAGTGACTCTGGTTTGAAGTCTTAGCTGTGGAGAAATACAAGCAACTAAGACACCCCACCCCCCATGGACAACAACTGGAAGAGGAAAATCAACCCTACCCATTACCATACAACCAGGGTATCACCTGAGTGGGTCCTTGGGTGATTGGCCCAGGTTAGGAGTTCCAAAGCAATTGATCCAATCAGTATGACCTCTCAAGTGGGAGAGTTTGAAAGGTCTCCAGCAACTAGATGGTGGAGGTCTCTTGATTATTTAATTTTGGCTTGCTCTGGTGCTCTGTGGAGTCAGAAAGGCCCACCTAGTAGCTGAGTTGGACCAAGGGGCTGTGTCTCTTTCTCCACTTTGTTCCTCTTTTATGCCCAGTCACTGGTGACCCCTACAGGGCTGAGGTCCTGCTCCCTCCAATAAGCAGATGTGCCAGGGCTTTGCGCCTGTCAGCATCAAAGGACGGTCAATGCCCCCTTGGCCTGGCCACTACCCTCCGCCACCAGCCATCTCAGAGAGCTGAGGCCTGCCTGCTTCAGGTACTCAGTAGCCACTGGCAAGTATTCCACTTGGACTCAGTCTAATCCTGAGGATAACAAGTCTGCAAATGCTTTTCTCCCTCAGCCAGCATGCCTTTGTCCCATCCGTTCTGCAGCACCAGTATCCCTATAGAGCAAGGTCTGGTTTCCTCTGGCAGTCCTCAGAGTTGGAGAGGTGTCTCTCCAAGATTAGACCCCAGAGGGGTTGCTGTATTGTTACTGAATCTTTGTAGGAAGTGACCCTGTGCATCTCCCAGGCAACTGCCTCTGCCAGAGAATGTAGGAGCAGCTCCAGGAGCACAGGGCACATGGATCCAGCAGTAGGGCAGGGGACACTGCACACGGTTCTGGCAGTTCAGGGCTCCCAGTGACTTGACAAGGAGAGTGCTAGGCCCACGAATCTGGCAGGGCAGAGCACAGTGAGGAGGCTCCAGCAGGGTGGGGTGCAGGGTGCATGGTTCTGGCTAGGTGGAGTGCAGGGTGCTTGGTCTGGCAGGGCAGGGGGTGCTGCTCATGAGCCGCCTCCCACAGTCTCCACAGGGTTTAGGCTTCTGGAGCATCAGGCAATGGGGAAGGATGGACTGGAAGTTCACAATGGCAGGGAAAATGTTAGTTCAATTTTCCTGCCTGGCAAAAGAGTGTTCAGGGTCACAACAGTTCCCTTTGGGGAAGTAGTCCCTACTTTCTACAGCTCTCACCCATAGAGTGAGACAAGATGTCCTTAGTTCTCTGCTCACCTGTAGAAAACATTACAGGAAGAAGCAGAGAGAAAAAAATAAAAACCTTCTTGAGGGGAGGGAGCAGACACTTTTCCTTTGGGATGAATTTTGTGCCTGAAGTTTGCTTTCTTGGAGTCACAGCTTGCCTCAGCAGAGGAGACCTACGGTTAACACTCTTCTCTCTCAGCTCGGCTTCTAGTCTTCAGCTTAATTGGGTACTTTCTGGACATTATCCTTCCTTCTGGATGGGAGCTTCTCTCAAAGGCTGACTCTAATTGGCCATCTTGCCCTTCCCTCCCAAACCCTGCTTTCTTATTTGCCTTTTATCTTCAACAGAGCACTCAATGTGATGCTTTTAAGACTTAAAGTCATTTCACATTATTCTTCATCAAATCTGCAGTGACTCCCCATCTTGTTTAGAGTAAAACTAAAAGCTCCATGGACTATGAAGTCCTTATTTAATATGGTCCCTGCTTCCTCTCTGTTTGGATTATCACCAATCTGCCTCTCGTTCACTTTGCTCTAGGCACATTGACTTCCCTGTTTTTCCTGAACATGCCAAGTTTACTCATATACCAAGGCCTTTGCACTTACTTCTTATGCCTGGAGAATTTCCCCAGTTTTTAAAATGCTTTCACCTTACTTTATTAAGTTCTATACTCAAAATTCATCTCCCAAAAAAGTATTTTCCTGACCACTCTTTGTGAAGTGCCTTACCCCAGACCTCAGGCAGCCTATCCTTAGCCACTTACTGTCCCTACTCTGCTTTAGTTTTTATTCTTCTAACTTGTCACCACCACTTATTATTTATTTGCCTATTGTCTGTTTCTGCTCTCTAAAAAGATATATGTCATGAGAGCATTGACTTTGACCACAACAAAGTGAGAGAACTCAGCTGGTGCTCCATGAGCATTTGTTAATTGGGTGAATGAGTAAATGTTTGTTTATATTTGCATACAGTGGACTAATGTATATGCTTTGATTGGAAAATAACAATTCAACTTTCTTTTTAAAATTTAGATGTCTTTGTTTTATCAATAAGAAGTGCATATATTGCTAACCTTTGAGATTCCAATTTTCCATATGATGCAATTTGTTTAGGACTTGCTGCTTTTTGAGGTGGCAGAAATTTGTGAGTTTTGCCAACATTGTGTACTATCAAGGTGCTTAAATTTCCTTTATCTGTTCATCACCTAAGATTAAGAAATTATTTGATGTAATTAGAATGCATGATTCCTAAGTTCTTCTAGTTAAAAATAATTTCTCTGAGATGAACCTTTAAAAGTCTAAATGTTCCAGTAGGTGATTTCTAAGTAGTATCATGTTCTGAATATTTTAATCCTAAGATCACTGACACCTAAAAACACTAGCTGAGTCTACTTTTTCATAATTTTCTATAGTATTAACTTTATTCACACCACCTGACTCAAGCTTACTTTGGCAGACTTTTTTATTAAGGTAGATTAAGGTAAATTCTATGTATGTATTTTGCAGACACTATAATGCATGTTGATCTGCACTTAAAAGCATTATCTATAAATAGGTTACATTCCAAGAATGTTAATGATTGTACAAATTTACACATTCTCCTCTATAACAGAAACAGGAAGCTAAAGATTCTAAAATCAGTATTTCTTTTTTTTTTATTAAATCATACCTGTGTACATTAATGCAATCATGGGGTACAGTGTGGTGTTTTCATATACAATTTGAAATATTTTCATCAAACTGATTAACATAACCTTCATATCATTTTCTGAGTTCTTAAATTCATACAATATTTTTAAGTACCTCTCTTTTCTGAAACATCAGCTCTCAGGGCACTGAAACTTTTTCTTGTAAGGTTAAAACCACTATGATGTTCATAATTAAATTCATTGAGATATTTCCACTTAACTCTTAGGAAGAGAATACTTTTTTATTAAACTGAAAAAGATTAGAAATGTATGACACTAGGGACACAAAGTGTTTAGAAAAGCTAATTAGAAAGTTGTATGAGGCCTAGAAACCAGAAATGAATTCCACATCACAGACTGTGCCTTTATATTAAAACTTTAGGCCAGATGATCCTCCCTACCATCTCCCTCTTTCAACTTGAGTATGTCTTCTGTAGAAACCAGAGATGTCACTGGATGGTTGATATCTTTGTTGTTACATGATTTCAGCTTCTGTCAGAGAAAACAGCTGTGAGCTCCCATATAACTTTCTGTTTTGATAATTCTTAGTAACTTCAACTTACTGGCAAGTGAATAGTCCAGAATGGAATGGAGATAGATGGTACTTTTTACATTATCCAGATCAGTTGTTACTTTGTTAGATGTCACTAGGTAGAAATTTTTAGACAATAGGAACTAAAGACTTTAAGATTTTTAAATGAACTCTTTATAAATTACCTTAGTGATTCAGAGAACTGAGCACTTTTCATAGTTTAACTCTTTCTCTTTTTCTTTTCATTCCCTATCCATATTCCTTTTATATTCCCCCCAACACCAAAAATGCCCTTTCAGAAACACAAAGTAGATCTTTTCTACAAACTACGTCATGTGATGAATGAACTTATTGACCTGCGGAGGCAGCTACTCTCTGGCCACCTGACTCAGGACCAGGTGAGAGAGGTTAAGCGGCATATCACCGTGCGCCTGGACTGGGGTAATGAGTAAGTATGAATATTATTTAGGCATCTCTCCATTGCATTTATGATAATTCAGTCTTCATAGAGTTTGCACCTATACAAAGTTTCTATTTAATAATTATTAAAAGACACTGGTGTATTCTCCACTAAGATTTTATCATTTTTGCTAGGAACAGTTGTTTTTTTTAGTTGGCAAAGAGCATTTACTGGTTCTATTCACTGAAACTCATTCACCTTCTGTTTTCACTTCTGAAAAGAAGAATTAAAGAATTGTAATTAAAAATCCCCTGAGACTTCTTCCAATTTAATTTCTTAATTCTAGACCTCCTCCTTTTCAGTGCTTTTTCAAAATGTGAATTTGGTGTCCTTTACATTTTATGGCTATACACTGAATCTGATTACAAATGGGAATTGTCGTCATTTGCACTTCAGAGTATTCTTAACTACCTTGTTATTCAGTAGTAGTTTTTCATTTTTGCAGTGGGTAAGATGATTTGCTGTTGCCATACAAGTAAAATGCTAAGACTTGGGCATGGAAAGTTAGGGTAGATAGTATTCAGATTTATTTCTTCCCAGGTTTAATAATTAATATAATTTTCAGGTGCTTTTGTCTTATTCTTTTAAAATTGGGTCCGTTAAACTTCAAAGTAACTAGGTTGCCTCCTACTTCAGATATACATATACTTTCCATATATTTAATTATGTGTCTTTAACTCCTTATCCTTTTAAGACATGACTGAAATGATAGAAAACAAAAATAATGGGAGGGAGCCCATAAATGAGGGAAAAAAGTAGATGGAATATTAATGACAGAAGAAGCCCAGTCTATGTGGAGGAAACCTTAGTTAAATAAGGGAGCCAGTTTGTCCTATAGCTCTTAAACTCATGGAGGATAAGATGGGCGTTGGCGCTTTGTAAGGGGGCTTGGCTTAAAAGGTATTTAAGGAAAAATCCACCCCAGTCATTGAGCAGAGATCTTAGCTAGGTGTTTCCCCTTTAGGTAAATAAATACAAAACTATGGTATAATTGGGAAGTGAGGTTATAAACTGGAACCTTATTGCAAAACCCTCTATATGCTGGCATTTAAGGTTTTTTTTTTAAGTGTAATGATTAGATCCCTCCCACTTACTAGAAGGAAAACTTACCAGTCACCCACCCATGTATAGAAAACGCCCTGCTTTTTTTTTTTACTGCCTTTTAAATCTGAATAGACAACCAAGTATTACCAGGTGTTTGAAGAAACCCTTCCCAGAGAGAAGATGGAGGCCAGGATAAACAAAATACCTGGGCTCAGAGGAAGTAATTAATTCCAGAGAGAATTGAGATTCATAAAGAATTTGTTTTAAAAAAATTGAAAACAAAATGAAAGAAACTTCTCTAATACCTGAAAAGAAAATTAAGAAAATCATTATACAGAATAAGATGCCATGAAAAAGGAATGGAGAATGTGACTTCCAAAATAGAAGAATTCAGGAAGAGAAGACAAATTCTATGTGATCAACAGGAAAATAAAACAAGTTTTTTTTAAACTGTTGAGGAAATATGTTCAATACAGAAGGAAGTCTAATATCAGACATTATATTTTCCCAAAAAAGAACAAAACAACTTTTAATTAAATAATAGAGAATTTTATCCAAAGAACAAAAATCTTAGGTTTGGAAGGGCCCACCAAAAACTTATAGTGAATGGGGAAAAAACAAAACCAAATAAAGAAAACCCACAGTGAGACATGATATTTCAGTATTCCAGGGATGAAGAGGTAACCCTCAATGATTTTCAGACAGAAAAACATGTTCTCTTACGAAAGATTAAGAATTACACTGGCCTCAGAGGTATTAGCATTAGATGCTAGAAGATAACATCTTCAGAGTTCTATGGGGAAGTAATTTGTCAGCCAGTATTTTATAAACAAGCAAACTACCTAATTAAGCATGAGGGACATATAAAGCTATATTGAGATATTTGAATATGCATAAAAATTACCTCTAATGGCTTCTTTCTTAAGAAGGGACTTATAGATATTCTCCTGAAAAGTAGAAGAATAAATTGTGAAAGAGGAACTACAGGTTCTAATAAACATTAGATCCACCCAGACTGGAACTGTGCATTAGTAGAAAAGAGAAGAGTGCAACCCTAAATTTATTAGTTGTGACTTTTTGAAGTGACAGTGGCCCATCCTTGTTCGTTTTATTTTATCCTCTCATGAGTGTTAATATGCTTGCTTGGTACATACTACAGACTGCTTTTAGAATAGTGTATAACATGAATTCGGGTGTACCATAGATCAGACAGTGATCCTTCAATCTAGTTTTAGAAAATAAAAACTTACTGAAATACAGTGTGTTGACTTAATAGCATAGCTACTGATTCTGTCCTTCAACCCCAAAGACTACTATATTATAAAATGGTATACCTGTATTTATTTATAAAATCATTAATAGTAATTCAGTAATCGCAAACATAACATTACTAATTGTCAAGCAAATTGTTGCAGTTGAACTGATAACACTAATAATTGTGTAAATTATTAAATTAATAGATACCAATAAATGGAGAATTGTTTTAGAAATATCAGTACCTTTACCTTTTTAATATAAAACTTGGAACACAACCAGATTTTTGTCTGTTTGTTTTGAGACAGTCTCGCTATGTCACCCTTGGTAGAATACTGTGGTGTCACAGCTCACAGCAACCTCAAACTCCTGGGCTTGAGTGATTCTCTTGCCTCAGCCTCTCAAGTAGTTGGATCTCCAGGCACCAGCTATAACACCTGGCTATTTTTTGGTTGTAGCTGTCATTGTTTGGCAGGCCCGGGCCAGATTCGAACCCACTAGCTCTAGTGTCTGTGGCTGGTGCCTTAGCTGCTTGAGATTTTTGTAATCAAATCTGAAAACTTAATTACGATAGTTCAGAAACAAGTTCAAATTATACTTGAAAAATGTAAGAACAGTATAAAAAGCTATCAGTAAATTATAAGGTCATTCTAACTTAACTTTTTCTCAAAGTGTGTGTGTTGGGGGAGTGTTCAAGGGGCCTATACTAATAAACACATACAATTAAGAAATACAGTTCCATTTCCCTCCCCACTTCTTTTTTTTCTCTTTCCTCTCCTCAATTCCTCCTATCCCCCTTTCCCCCTTTTTTTTTTTTGCAGTTTTTGGCCAGGGCTGGGTTTGAACCCACCACCTGCAGTATATAGGGCTGGTGCCCTACTCCTTTGAGCCACAGGCGCCACCCTCCCCATTCCCTATTTTTCATCTTCCTTCTTCTTCTCTGCTTCTTACCTTCCCTGATACTTCTTTCCTCTTAATCCTTCCTTCTTCTTTTTCTCATTTGTTCCTTTCTCCTAGTGGAAAATATAGCCACTTAAAAACCTAAACAAGAACTTTGTTATTTAACATTATTAATAGAAAAAGACACATTCCCTCAATACTGATGGGACTGTTCTCATTCTCTCTGGTTCTTGCTGAAGCTTGCTCTTTCTAAATTTTTCTTCTTACTTTGAAATAAGAGATGTATACTGGAAAAATAAAGCCATTTCATTAGGTTATATAAAACAGGCTGTCACACAAAAGCTGAGCACAGGTAATTATATTCATTGTTCCCATTTTATTCTTCTTATTCTATCATACTTTTATAAATGTCATACGATTGAAGTGTGACACATAATGGCATGTGGTGGATCATCAATTGATGTTTGCCAAATATATTTTAAAGTTTTAATTAAATATTCTTTATATGATCTGAAACTTTTGTGCCTTTCCTTTTTTAATTTTTACTGATTTATTTTTAATTAAAATGATAACTATATACATTTATGGGGTCTTTTCTTTTCTATCTTTTTTTTTTTTGACAGACTCACTTTGTCACCCTGGGTAGAATGCCATGGTGTCGTAGTTTACAGCAACCTCAGTCTCTTTGGCTGAAATGATCCTTTAGCCTCAGCCTCCCATGTACCTGGGTCTATAGGCACCCACCATAATGCCTGGCTATTTTTGGAGATGGGGTCTTGCTCTTGTTCAGGCTGGTCTCAAACTCCTGAGCTTAGGCAATCCACTGCATTGGCCTCCCAGAATCCTAGGATTATGGGCCTATTTATGGGATATTTCTATAAGCTCTTATCTTAAACATTATAGTTCTGCTTTTTCAGAATTTATTTCAGAAACTAATAATAGATTATTGATTACATATGCCTACATCACTATGGCATGTGTATGGTGTCACTTATATGCATTGTTATAATTAAATGCTATTATGCATTTCTAAGACAAGAACTCTATTTTAGCCAGTGAGGAAAAGGAGTCTCAGAGACACCAGTGTTGTATGGTGAGTGGTAGAGCTGGTGTTTATACCTAGAACTTATCTCAGAGCCCACCTATATACTTTGTACAGTACCTTACCATCTCTCTAATTATTTGTAAGTGTGGATCTTAAAATCAAGCAAATTTGTGCCAGTATTTTCAGTCTTTGGTCTATTTGATCTTTGTTCTGTCCTCCAACTCTGAATATTGCTATCTCCTATAATATATATCTGATTAACATTCAGTTAGGATGAACTATGCTTTTTTACTTAGAATTTAAATTATAATTACATGTAGACTCTTAACATCTAGGTAAAAATAATTCTTATTTCCAGAGACTAGGAATTATTTGGCCAAAATTTGAAGATTTAGACATTAAATTTACATAATTTACACTTACTGGCTTATGTATGGACTCACTCCATCCATAAGTAAAAAATTATTAAATTATATCAGATAGAAACTAATACTAAAAGTATTGTTCTTAGTTACAACTTATAATACAAGAAGGGTATAAAACAAAGTTTTGTTCATATTAACTAGTCATTACTTCTGCTCGAGTTCCTATACAGAGAATAAGTCAATTTATCCACCTAAAGAGAATTTTAGGGTGGCAGCTGTGGCTCAGTGGGTAGGGCTTGGGCCCCATATACTGAGGGTGGCAGGTTGGAACCTGGCCCCAGCCAAACTGCAACAAAAAATAGCCAGGCATTGTGGCAGGT